AAAAAGAAAAAGAAATTACACATTTGAAGAAATAAGGTAAGCACTGTCTCACGCATCTAGGCTTTCTGAGACAGGGCCTCACTATGCATCTCCGGCTGGCCTGGAACACACGAGGTAGCCCAGGCTAGTCCCACACTTGAGGTGGTTCTCCTAACTCCGCCTCCTGAGTGCTGGGGCTACAGGATGTGCCAGCATGCCTGGCAGCACTATCTTCATTTTTTGGGGGGTACCGGGAATTGAACTCAGGACCTTGTGCTTGCCAGGCAGGCACTGTGCCACTGAGCTATATCCCCAGCCCTCTCCCTTAATATTGTACATTTATTATATCAATGTTTGAACTATTTTTCACATGTATATTTTTTACTAGATTCTCACAACAACACCGAGAAAAGTTTACTTGTAAGGTCCCTATTTTGGGGGCAGGTAAACAATATGTAAACCAGGTAAGTATACCAACACCTGCAGTCACTCACCCCTTCTATACAGCATTCCAGTACCTGCTGCCTACGTAATTCACAAAGTGCCATTTCTTTCTCTTTAAGCTTCTTTTCACGAGTATTAAAATTTTTGTAGTGGTCACGAAGTCCCATTAGTATAACTTTTAGTTTAAAAGAATTTATTAACCAATATATTTAATTCCTTAGCAGAATTTTTTTTTTTAAACAGGCTTTATTTATTCATTTTTGGTAGAACCGGGGATTGAACTCAGGCCCTTGCATTTGGCAGGGAAGCGCTATTCTACTGAGCCATCTCCCTGCCCTTAGCAGATATTTTTAAGATAACTAGGTCTGACACATGAATGTGCAAGTGATAATTTAGTACAGAAGTTCATTATTTTTTAATCATGTTCCTGACGAGTACAATAGTTATAAATCTGTAATGGTCCATGAGAGTAACACTTCATTTATACAGAGGAGAAATGGACAACCCAGCCTATTCTAGACAGGCGCTCTGCTAGGACTCGCTGTGCTTCCACACAATTGTCACACACACTTCAGAGGCTGCAGGGTTGGGGGACGGCGCCTGCATGTCTTGTCTGCTGTGAGCTCCAGGAAGAGCCAGCTACAGCAGAGCAACAGACGCTACCCAGCCTTCTCCAGCCAAGGAGTGAATGTGCACACTTCCGCAGCTTAACAAGTATTTATAGCTTACTTATGTGTAACATGCATGGTATATAAGAATATGCAAAAATTAAAATGCAGAAATGATGTTATAGATACATATGTTTAAAATGGCAGTGATGTGAAAATATTATTTAGCGTGCATGGGTGTGAACAGTGACGTGGGGCAGGGTAAGCGTGAAAGGCTGTTAGCTGAGTACCTGCCTTTCTGCAGTCCTCCAACAGCCTGCGTCCCCTCAGCCCTCACCCCAGCTCCTCAGGACGGGGATGAGGGGAGGAAAAAGGGGGGAGAGCGAGGCTGCTCAGGGTCCCTCCTGCAGGCCCCTGGAAAGCCACCCCTGCTGGTCATGCCCGTGTCTCTGGCAAGGAGCTGTCCCACCCCAGCCCCCATTAGTATCCAGAAGACCCCTGAAATGTGGGGTGTGGAAACGGTACACTGGGGCATGCCCAGGGACAGGGGGATGAGACTGTGCTGACAGCTAAAGAACACTATTATCTGTAGGCCTAGTTTCTTTGGGGGAACCCTACCCCTAAAAGCACCTCTTCTGGCTACGTGAATGTACAGTTAGGGGGTTGTGTGGATGTGAACAAGCCCACAGGAACACAGCTGTCAACCTCTTGCACATTCCACAGAATAACTCACACACAAATGCCCAGGGACACTCTGACCTACAGATTTAAGGTCACCAGGGTCCTTCTGACTAACAAATACTGGTAATTAAATCATCCCTTAGATTAAAATATCTGAAGAGACTTTCTGAAATGTTGTCCCTCTATGACAGGTCATCTCAGAAGGTCCTGGCCCTTATTGGACCAAAATGTACAGAGCCATCTTAGCCCCTGCTGGAAATGGTTCAGTTCATTTTTAGGCCTGGCTATTCCAAATAGGTAAGAATACTCTTAACATACAGTTCTGCTGTAGTTCCCACATTTCTCTAATAATGAGCTGAACGCTTCCAGAGAAGCTTCAGAGTTCCATAAATGGGCATCCTCTTTCCTTACAGTTTGAAAAATATACCGACATGCACCCATAATGCAAGTTCATCCCAAAATTCAGGGCTGTTCAGATCAGAAGGCAGCAGGTGGCTGGATGTGGTGGCCGCATGTACCCATAATCCCTGCTACAAGGAAGGCTAAGGCAGGAGAATCAGCAGCTCCAGGCTGGCCTGAAGGCGACACCCAGGACAGTGAGACTCCATCTCAGTGACAACTGCTCTCCTATCCCACAGTTTTGGATGTGGAGGACGGATGAGCAGGTAGCTCCTGAGTTCATCCCTTAGAGAAAGACCAGCTTTACCAACACCCTTTACAGTCACAGCCTCCTGAAGGAGCCACACAGGAGATCAGGGGCTGGCTGTGGAGGCGATGCCTGTAATCCCAGCACAGGGGGTGCTGAGAGTTTGAGACCAGCCTGGGCTACAGAGTGAGAACAAGGCCAGCCTGAAATGCACAGCAAAGGGGCCGGGGAGATGGCTAAGTGGAATAAGCGCTTCCCGGGCAAGTGCAAGGGCCTGAATTCAATCCTAGGTTCTGCAAAAAGACAAACAAACAAACAAACAAACAAACAAACAACTGAACTGCATAGGGAACTACATAATGAGGAAAAAAAGAAAAAGATTAGAGATACATTTCAACTTTTCCAAAATTTTACAAGTGTGATGAAAAGCTATAAAAATTCTTTTATTGGGGCTGGAGAGATGGCTCAGTGGTCTAAAGCACCTACTTGTAACAAGCTTGGCAAAGCACAGGGACCGCGGTTCGATCCCCCAGCACCACATGCCAGCCAGCCCAGCCCCCTGGTGGGCTGAGCTGGCCACACACACACACACACACGCAATAAATAAATGTAATAAATAAAAATAAATAATAATAAAAAAATTCTTTTATTTACTCTGAAAACTATTTATTTTAAAAAGCTCAGCACAAGGTTTAATTATTAAGACTACTTTGACTTTCAGTAGTGTAGAAACAGAACAGTATGAAGTTTTACTGAGATAGTTTTTTTAATGTATTTGGTACAGGGTTTCCTTCACAGCTCAGACTCATAGTGATCCTCCTGTTTTCAGCCTCCCCAGCGCTGGGATTACAGGCACGGACTGCCACGCCCAGTCCAGTGGCTGGCTCAGTGCACCTGGGGGTGGGGCTGGCGCAGCATGTGGGGCGTGTGTGTGTGGCGGGGGAAGCCTGGTCACTGTGCTTGCCTAGGCAGGTGTTTAGCTATTTTGCTGGCCCTTGAAGTTGTACTGTGATAGTTTAAACTATCCATTGTAGCTGGGCACAGAGGCACATGTTTGTAAATCACAGAACTTGGGAGGCAAGATCACTCTGAGTTCAAGGCAAGTCTGGGGTACATGTCTCAAAGAAGAAAAAGAAACCCACTCTGTGTAGAAATACTGTCGTGTTACACACCCCTCCCCATTTGAACCTTTAGAATCGAACCACGTTAGCCTATAAGAAACCTGTTTTAAGACTTGCACCGTGGCTTGCAAATGGCTATTCTATGACACATGTCCACAAAACTGAACCCCACTTTCTCCAATAACAAACAAATGCTGTTTTGAAGTGTTTTTCTTTAAATGGTAGGAGAGGAGTGAGAACTGTCTGCAGCTTTTAGCATCCTCTTGTTTGGAGAAGAACACTCTCTGCTTTACCAGCTGCTGCCAGGCCTTGCACAGATAGGGTCTGTAGTCCAGGTCTGGCCTGCCAGGACGCTGACAGGTGGAGGGGGCCCCTTCCGGCGTGTGCCAGGCCTTCTGCATGATGCTCTGTGTCGTGGCGAAGAGCACCAAGCGGTAGTCCCGGACCAGCCTCTCCAGGCGCTGGGCGCACTTCCTCAGAGTGGACTCCTGCGCGCTGACGCTCTCCCCGCCATTGGCGCGGTCTGTCCAGTAGAAGGCCGACAGGCTATCCAGAAGCAGCACGCACAAAGAGGGGCGGCTGCACAGCACCGCCTCCAGCGAGTGCAGCGTGAGCAGCAGCTGCGTGCTGCTGTTGCAGTAGACTAAAAAGAATCTTCTCAGGCAGTGCTTTATCATCTCTTCCGAGCTCTGGGACAGTCTATGCTCAAGAATGGTGACAAGCCGAAGCATGTCGAAGTGGTAATCTGTATCAATGAATAAGACTTCCAGGCCCAGGCCACCTTCTGATTTTGGAAGTATACACCGTGCCATTAAATGATAAAGCATTTCTGTTTTTCCTGTTCCCTCTGCACCGTGAAATTCAAGAATATCACCTGTGTAAAATGTTAAAATGTCTGTCAGAGTGCAGCAGCACAACAGCAGGCTACAAGGAGTAAGTTTACAAAAGGTTTACAAAGACATATACTGGAGTCAGGTGTGGCAGCACACACCTAAATGCCAGCACTCGGGGGCTGAGGCAGGGAGATTGTCAGGAGTCTGGGGCCAGCCTGGGCTACGTAGCGACCTCAAGGCCAGTCTTAACGACACAGTGAGCCCCTGTCTCAAAGAAGAAAAACAGAAAGAAAAGGAAGAAACAGACTAGAATGCGAAAATCTACATCCATTTACCAAGCTGGATCTGTACAAGGGTGATCAAAGTATACGGAGAAGGTTTACATCTTAGTGTGTATGACCTAAAAGCCATTATTCCCTCTCAATCACTCCAAATGCAACTGTTCCAACATCCCTGCCACTTTCTGAAGCAGTTCTGGAGGTCCTCTCTGCTGTGATCGGAACTGGTGACTGCCGCTGCCAAGTGCCACCCACCCAGGGGAGGCCAGGCGGGCCTGTAAGGACATGTCCTGTGCTCACTGGCCAGATCTGGTACAGGGCCCCTTGTGGCTCTTCTGCAAAGTCAAAGTAAGCACAAGTGGTACATGCTTTAATCATTCAGGACATCTGTGCAGCCAGTACAGGGTGTGCTGCAGGACAGAGGACTCCAGCACTGCTGAGCAAGAGGGATGATGATGGGGCGACGTGTTACAGGGGTTCACGGCAATGTGTCTTTTACTGCAACACACTTTCCAATTTCCACCGCATTTCTGATGTCCTGTGTATAAGGAATGATGATTTCCTCCCCGGGAAGGGAGCCTGCCTTTCAGCATTTGCTGGGCTTCGTGGTGCTTGGCTCAGACCAGGCCTGCCAGGCAGGCGCTCTCCCACGAGCACAGCCCGCTGAGGAAACAGCTGTGAAAGCACTGAGGTTTTACAGAGAGCAGGTTGAGGAGCCCCGAGGAGTCTTCGGGCCTGGGTCCTCAGACACTGGTACTTGCAGGGAGAGGCCCGCAGCAGCCCACAGCTCCCCTCCTGTCTGGCCGAATCACAGCTACGCCTTCCTTCCCCCTAAACACAGACCTAGCTCTAGGGGAAGGTGATGCCTCTGCCCCAGTGGCAGCGCTGCAGACTCGAGTCCGCAGCCCACCTGGGTGTCTCTGCCCTTGGCTCCCCGGCCCTGCTGAGGGCGGATGGGCAGCAGGCAATGCCCAGCCCTGAGCAGTGTGTCTGCCGCAGCACCACTCCCTGGGGGGACACGGGGACGGCTCCCATAACCCAAAGGGGGCACAGTCCCTGGCCTGCTTTCTCTTGCTGTTGAGACTCCACAGGGACTCTAGACTTGGCAGTTTCATTCTGCAGCAATGCGGGCCAGTGGCCTCAGGCTCTCATGCCAGAAGAGGGACCTACACATGTGCGCGTCATGCCTGGCTACTCTCTGCCACAGGGACGCCTCCTGCAGAGCATCCAGCTGTACTATAAACCAATTTGCTAGTTCTAGGAGTCAAATCAACTACTGCCAACTTTATTATTAGTGTATGTGTTTCTTTGAGACAGGGTCTCCTTACGTGGTACAGACTTGGACTTGCTGCAATCCTCCCGCCTTGGCCTGCTGAGCACTGGGGGCACAGGCGTGCACACTCCAAATCTCTCTCTCTCTAGGTTCTAATAACTTTTGTTAAGGACAGCACAAGTTAAATAAAACAAGACCTGAAGTAATCAGCCTATTTCCAGAACTTTTCAAAATACATGTTCAAGACTGGCATTCTAGAAGCTAGCTTTTTTTTTTTTTTTGGCAGAACCAGGGATTGAACTCAGGTCCTTGCGCTTGCCAGGGAAGTGCTTATTCCACTGAGCCATCTCCCCGGCTCCATGACTGGCATTCTAATGCTTGCTAATTTGTCATTATTTGTGGCTGAGCCACCTGATTGCAAACATCATGTTTTAAAGGCACATTCTTAGGCTCCAAGCAAAGTAGTTTAAGAATTCAGTTACTTGGGCAGGGGGTACAGCTCAGCGGTGCAGGGCCTGTCTGGCAAGCACAAGGTCATGAATTTGATTCCTACCACAAACAAACAAAATTCAGTTACTTTATTTCCTACATAGTGAGTTTAAGGCCAGCCTGAGCTACATAAGACCTTGTTACAAAAAAAAACAAAAACAAAAACTTCAGCTAATTTCTACAATATTACATACAACCTAAAATTCTAAATTTACATTAAAAAGAATTTTAAAAGATGATTTCAGCCTCACTAGGCATAGTGGCCCATGCCTGTATTGCCAGCACTCAGGAGGCTGAGGCAGGAGAACTACGGAGTTTAAGACCAGCCTGGGCTACAAAGTGAGCTCAAGGTCAGCTTGAACTATACAGTGAGACTGAGTCAAAAAGAAAAAAAAAAAAGATGCCAGCCTCAAGGAGTAAAACTATTTCCACAGTAACAGTTGCTCCTCAATACTCTTATTAGAGGCCAACATAACCACTGTGGAAGTCAGAGGCAGGAAGATAACTGCAGCCTAAGAATGCGAGACCAGTTTGGGCAAACAGCAAGACCCTGTCCTACAAAGCATTAATAGCGATTAAGACCACATCACACCCCACACTCCAGTAGTCTCTCCTACTGGTCAGAGGCAGCCAGGAAGCCTCCACGCACAGCAAAGCTGTTACTGCAGGCCCTGCGCATGTGCACACAAATATCAACAGTGGGGAGAGGAGGCGGAAAACCCTATAGGGTAAAGAAATTGCGGACCACACAGAAGTGTGGTGGGGAATCCAAAAGCAGCCATGCACATCCTGTGTCTCCCCTCCCCAGAGAAGAGGTCAACGCCCAGGGTATGCAAGGCGACCTCGGTCACCTCCACCACACTATATAACTACTGGTCGGCTATTTGCTGCTGCTTTTCCTGTCAGCTTCTTTCCTTGCATATTCTCCTCCTAGCACAAAACACACAGTACCCGATTCTCTGGACAGACAGCTGAAGAATGTGCATGTAAGGTCCCATTGGTATAGGTTAAAGGCCTCATCAACTGTGGAACATGGCACTGGGAAAGGAAATGTCCCGTAGGAGTCACAGGCAGCATGAATGACCTTGTCTCGCAGGTAAGATGCCTAAGACCCACAGCTCAGGGCAGGCTGTAGCCCTCCAGAGGCCACGAGGGCTGACCCTTCCACCATCGGCTCCTAGACACAGAGGCAAAGGCAAATCCTAGAGACGGGTGAGCAAGGGTGAGGTGTGCCTGAAAAACACAGCGAATGCCTAGGTTTTTACTAAAGTCACGCTGCAATTCATCCGCATCAGCCCCAGCCCCCAACACACTTCTTTGTGAGTGCCCGTGGCTGCATGTCAGGATTCAGTGCTCACCTTTCACAGTCATTTGGACTTGAGGGAGGAGGCGGAAGTCTCACAAGGCCAGGTCAGCGAACAAGGCCCACGCGGACGCCTCTGCACCAGTCTGCCGTTCTGTGGGCGGTGCCTCACAGCAGCACTCACTGTACTTCTGATCATAACGTGTAAACATGGGGAGGGCCTGCAGGCTGCTTCAGGAGGCAAAAATGAGGGGGCAGGTGGTGGGCCTGGTGCCTGAAGCGAGGAGTGTTTCAGGGAGACCAAGGCAAGGCATCTTTACTGCAATACACTGAAATATTCACCATATATTTTGCTCACACCTCACACACTATCCCAGAGACATACATGAACTGGGAATTGAACTCAGGCCCTTGTGCTTGCCTGGCAAGTGCTTATTCTACTGAGCTATCTCCCCAGCCCCAAAACAAGGATTTTAGCTTTTCTTTTCTTTTTTTTTTTTTCTTTTTTTTTTTTTTTTTTTTGGAACCAGGGATTGAACTCAGGCCCTTGAGCTTGCCAGGGAAGTGCTTATGCCACTGAGCCATCTCCCCGGCCCAAAACAGGGATTTTAAATTCAGAAAATTCACTTAAATATCCTGGCAACAGGTTATTCAGGGTCTCACTACTAGATCGAACTCATAGTGATCCGCCTGTTTACAGCCTCCCAAGAGCTGGGATTACAGCTGTGCGACACAACACCCAGTCTCAACTGCCGTCTCAGTGGTTCCCCAGGGGCAGGGCCAACACAGCAGGCCCAGGGATTGAACCCCTGGACCCTGCGCCTGCTTGCAGATGCTTTAATCCATTGAGCTATTTGGCTGGCCCCTGGCAAGAGTTTATAGTTTTCTACAGCAACATGAGGAACAACAGAGGGTATTAAATCAAGTGTGCCAGGCACTGAAAGATGGTAAACAAGATTTCACAGCACTGCAGAGCCAGGCACAGGGGCCCTCCCCTGTGAGGAGGATCCCAAGTCCAAGTAGTGTCTGGGCAACTGGGCAAGACTCCATCTCAGCTAGCTAGATAAGGGAGACAGTCAGCCTAGGGAAGCAGCTCAGTCTGGAAGCCCTGTGTTCATCCCCAGCAGCACAGCCGTTTCCAGAGGCTAGGACGGAGAGAAGGGAATGAAAGGCTGGGTAACAGCTACAAAACTACAGCTAGACTGGAAGACTAGATTCCAGTGTTCTTCACACACTGGGTGATGACAGTGAATAATTTACTGTACATTTCAAAACAACTAGAAGATTTTGAATTTTCCCAACACAGAAAGACAAACAGGGCTGGTGTGATGGCTCAGTGGTCTAGAGCACCTACTTGGAACAAGCCTTAGCAAAGCACAGGGATTGCGGTTCAATCCCCCAGCACCACATGCCAGCCAGCCCCGCCCCCTGGTGGGCTGAGCTGGCCA